CTCTATGATGGGATGCTCATTCACTCTGGAAACTCAGTACTCCATCTCCACCTAGTGCAACAGAGCATCACTGAGGACAAACATCTGGTTCTACTTATTGAAAAGAAAGGTGATATATTTTGCTGCTTTGCTGTATCTACCACTGAGGACAAACATACGAAAGTTTAAGGCAGTGAGCTCTTGTGGAGAATGGAACCATGACAGCAAATGATTTAACCTAGCTAAAAGAGCAAGCCTGCATCTGACCATTCGTAGGACCTTTTTCTACTTTTCTGCTTTTATATATGTGCCTTATCTTCAGCAAAATGAGATAGCTCTTTTCAAGTGCAGGCAGTTGTTACTGAGACTCAAGTTTCCTATTTTCTGTGCCTACAAAAGGCAACCAATAGTAAAGGTGTCAAAAAGGGCTGATGAAGACAAGTTTTTAAGTAAGAATGAGAGATGGATGAAAAACTGTCGAAAGTCTTCGTGAAACTTACTGTCCAGGTGATCAACTGGTAAGTGGACTTCAATCTGTAACTACAATGATGTACATGAGAAAAATAATCTTCAAATAATCTGTAAAAAAAATACAAAGTAATGTAATCTCAGATGACTGCTACCAATGTGGAAAGAGAGCTCAGGGTCAAACCAAATAATCCTACATAAACACTACCTCAAGTGCTCAGTAATAGTTAAATAATCAAATTGAAAAAGTTTTATGCTACTCGATGAACCTTTGGTGTGTCTGCAACATTTGATACAAGGCATGGCTCTGCTCCTCCCTTTCATGTCTCAAAACATATACTGAAAAAGATACAAAGGTAAATAAAGAAGACGACCAAAAGTCATAGAGAAATAATTAAGTACATCAAGACTCAACAGGTTAGAAAAAACACAACTGAGTATATTAGAAGTCCATAAAAACCGAGAGGGTGGACAGTAATTTAGTTTTTCTTTTTTTTTTTTTTTCTGATATGAGAAGCAGGGATACAATTTGAAACAAATGAAAGATGAAAACACATAAATAATGGAGGTGGCTCTACTGACCAGTTTATGAGAAGTTGGGCATACAGATCAAGTCATGCAACCTTGGAACTGAGACAAGTCTCAGGGCTTTACTGAAAATGTGTACTCTCTTCCAAAAATACTAGAATTTAGGAACCTGGAAATGTTTAAGTAGGAAATGTGGCAGACATGGTGGGCAATGCTACAATAATAAATCCATTTTGAAGATGGAACACTTCTAGTTTTGTGTTCATTCCCTTCCTTCAGAATCTCTCAGTCTATCATCCATCAGTACGATAAAACAGCAAGGTGTTAGATGTTACCTGCTCTGTATTTTGCAGTGAAATATAACCCTAGCAAAATCCTCGCCTTGGCCTCCTTTTTCACGTACTTCAATTGTTGTGGCTGTTTCGATGTCGCCCTGCCCTTGACTGGCTCTCCAGCTAGAGCCTTCTTGTTCGGTACTGCTGACAGACGAACCTGGGTAAAATTTTCAGTTCCTACACGGTCTGTTGTCACCCTGTGCTTCTGCATAAGCAACACACTCTTTGGGAGAAGAGTTGGGCTGGGTGGTAACCCACCATCGTTCTCAGGAGCTAATGGTGCAAGGTTTCACCTAGCATCCTCTGTTTTGTGGGTAGCAGAGGCAGTTACTGTCTGCATACTCTTTTGTGAAATCTGACCCTGCACAAAATACTTGCTTGCCCAGTTTGCTGGGTTCTGAAGGGAAAGGAGAGGTAAATAAAAGAATCTTGAAAAATGATTGTGTTTTTGCAAGTGTAGGAACTCTTACCCCTATGATGAACATATTCATATTCTATGGCCATCCTCTCAAAGCATCTTTTCCCTGTGCAAAATGGCAAAAACAATAAAGCAGAGAAAGAATCATTATACAAAAAAAAATCCGAATCATACGTAGCCACCCACTCATTGAATTGCACTGTTTCGTTTATAAATACAAAAGTGTCTACTCTGCGTCTATTGCAATGACCTACTGTCTCCACTTATGATTTCCATCAGAGAAAGAAATTGTGAGTTACGGTCGTTCTTCCCTAATCTCTCGTTCTACTTATCCAAAAGAAAGGTGATATATTTTGCTGCTTTGCTGCATCTACCAGGCAGCAAAGCGCTCCTAAAGATGCAAACACAATCAGTGTTTTTCAGGCAAAAGAGGATTAATTGCCCTAGGAATTGCTCCTGGAGACACAGCTGAACTCTTTATTCACCTGCTTTTGGGAGCACAAGCATCTCCAGAGCATGGACTTGTTTTGGGTAAAAAAAAAAATAAGCTCATGCTGTATTCTGAACAGATCCCAACTACGGATCAAACAGACGAAACTGAACTGTTCAGCATCTTAAGTACTATTAATAAATACCAAGGTGAGTTTCTTAATGTTTAAAAACAAACAAAGAAAATCGCATCCAAAATCAACACAATAGCATTTGCTAGCATATCTTGGTCACTCCCAGAGCCTCAAATGTTATTCTACCATACAGAAGATACTAAAAAGCTGGCACTGGAATACACATATCCTTGTTACGTGTTTCTTTTTTCAATTTTTCCTTCTCCCTTATGTTTTATTTAGGCCATAGACTAATGTAGGCTGATGATTTGGATGTATATACTAAACCAGTTTCTTATACAAGAAAGTTTTGAACACAGAATAAATCAGGAGTAGTCCTGGCTGCAAGGAAAACATTCATCATGGATCTGTAATGCCAGCAAAACAGAAAATGGACAGAAGATCAATAACACTCATTAGAGCTTCATCTACAGCTCAGCTCTGAAGTGACACTAAGCACAAACTTTTCATGATCCTCAATGAGAATGTTCAGAAAATCTAGCACTGAACTTACTAACCCGAGAACAAAACATGCAGGCAGACCAAAATGCTCCATCATAAAGTACAGAAACATCTTCTACAGTATAATCCAACGTTTTCTCTCTGGACCTGTGCTTCATGGTTTGTCTGCATTACTTTCCTTTTCTAATTTTTTTCTTTTCTTTTCTCTGCAATTCCAATATACTTGGCTTTACTAGTCTGGGGCTCTTGGGACTGCTAACGTAAGAGAACAGAATTAAGGCAATATAGCTGAATGACGTAAATTTGAATTTGATAGGTACGTCAGCTACATGGATGAGATAGTCTTCTGTAAAACACTGAAGGACAGCTGGGACCAGCAAGTACAAAAAATAAGTTAACAAGCTAAAGAATTAGTGTTGTTAAAAACCTTGTTAAGAATCTTAGGTAAGGTGGGAAGTAAGGCTAACATATGAACAATTTCCACAGTCAGCAAAAGCTGATAAAACAATGAGGATCCCAAGTCAAAGACAATGCTAGCAAGAGTCAGTTTTGGTTCCACAACTGTAATCACCTATTTCTAAATTCTGAAGCCTAGGAAAGAACTCGGGAATATAAATTTGTACCGAAATAGCTAGTTCAAGCTTTTAATCCACTCTTCTTCAGTCTTTATGATTTAGGTTGACATTTAGGAAGGAGGATTTTAGAAACTATTGTCTCAGTAATAGTCAGCTTGTTACTGTATTGCATAACAAAGGGGCTGGCCAAATAGCCAAAAGGTCAGATAAGGGTGTTGTTACTGAAGCACAAGGCAACCACACCTCAACTGGATCCCTCTGTTGCCAAATTTTGACCAAATATTACCAGTGTTAACGGAATCTGTTACCAGCGTCTGTACTGTAGGCATAGTACAGCCAGCTAAATTGCCTATGAACTGCAAACACTGCACTGGAATTGTTTTTGTGTTCTTTTGGGCTTGGTTTGTTTTGAGGAGGGAAGGCTATGGGGGACCCCATACCTACAAGAAGGTTATCAAGATGATGGAGCCAGCGTGCATGGTGGCAGGATGAGACACAACCGGCAGAAGCTGAAATAAGGCAGGTTCAAACAAGAGGATAAACGTAAAAAGATTTTCAACATGGGGACAGCCAAGCAGTGGGACATTCATCCCTGGAGGTTTTCAAGAATCAACTGAATACAGTCTTGAGCAACGTGCTCCAACAATAAAGGAACCCTGCCTCGAGGAGGAGGTTAGATTACATTACCCCTAGAGATCGCTTCCAACCTGTATTATCCTATGGATCTTATCGTGTGTAATGGTTCTGTACATGGTTACATCAAAATTAGATCTGAACACAAGACTAGGCTAAAGATTTACAGATTAATTTTAACAACAAATTCCTATAAACACATGGAAACAGCAAACGCTTCTGGTAATGCAATGTAATAAACAGACAGTCCCCTTGTAAAACTTTTTGAATACAACCAGAAATACTTTGCCTTATTAAGACAGAAAGGCATTTGGAAATAAACACAACTACGTAATTTTTCAGAACCCAGGAAAAATACAAGTAAAATACTTTGAAAGCACATTCACAAAAGGTATCAACATATATTTAGGATTTGAGATAGGGCTTCGCAAACTGTGGAGAAAAATACCTCAAAGACTAGAACTGTCTGCAAGCACAGAAAAGTTCAGCTTGTCCTTATGAATAAACATCACCAAGGAGAGACAGGAATTTCAGAAAAAGGGGCTGAAGAAAGAAAATATTTATCTGTTTAAAAGGAGGAATGAAGAGAGACTAAAATAAATGCAAAATATTTTATTTATTGCAAACAAAACCTGTGGCAACAACATTGCACAATACCAAATTTTAAGGGTTTGAAATTCTCAGAAATTACTCTCCACTGTGATTTATTTTTTTGCTCCATATATCTTTATAATTATATTTTTACATTAGGTTTACATTATGACAAGAGTAAATTAATTACAGAAATTAAGACAAATTGTATATAACCTGCCAGCTTACTAACGTTTCATTTACATGTCACAGAGTGTAATCATTTAACACTTCTCTCTGATCTGAAAAGGATTATCAGCTTCAATGCTTTGCTAGTCATATAACACAACGATACGGTCCGCATCAATACATTTTTAAACGATTGGAAGTATATGGGAATTCACTTTGAGTGTGCTGTTTGTATTTTCTACAAAACATAGGTAATAACTAACTCTGTTACTTCACTAGGACAATAACTTCTCCCTTTTGTGTAAGATCTCCAGCAAAAAGGCAGACAAATGCATAAATCCAACATTTTTAGATCCAATGCTGAACAGCCTGGAGGGCAGTAGTAAAAGTCCTGAGTGCAGGATGAGTTCCTCGATGAGACATCAAAAGGGATCCGGCCTCTGCGTGGAACCCTGCTTCTTTAAGTTGTTTTGCTATTTCCTCTACATCCCAGCCTCCTTCTCCCTGGTTAGCCAGTAAGTGCTCAACAAGGCGAGGATAGAAGGCAGTAGACATGCACTTCACCACTAACCTGGCATTGAGGAGCAAGGAAAGTATTTCAGCATCACAACTGGAATCATCAACCTACAAAGAAAGAAAAAAACAAAGTAATTAAAAATTAATTATCAGATGCATCCATCAACCAGAACATTTCACGACTGTTCTAACTGCACAGCGTGACCTTGGAAAATGAGATGAGTATTCTGTATGGATTATCAACAAGGATACACACTTTGCATATGTCAGAGTATGTAAAGGTATGTCTTTAACAGTCTCTGTCACACTAATAAAAGTATTTGACCTCCACGAAGTCAAAGAATAAGGATGCTTAAAAACCTGGCTAGGATTACATGAACAGCTTTACAGACTTTCCACAGGTTTTCAGCCCCAGTGCAGAACAGACCACATCATTTACCTCTATATCAAGAACGACACCCCGAGGAAGGTCAGAGCAGAGTATATGACATTTTGGTCACTTCAGATTAATATAATGTCTTACATTACACGTATTCAAATGATAGGCAACATTCGCAGACTCAAACAGATTTTCCAGCTTTTCAGCATTCACAGCAAGAACGAGATTTTCAAACGAATTCAACATATTTTAAAAGATTTGGAGCACAGAGCTGCTACCTCTGCGAGACACTGTGGAAGCCTGAGAAAAATGTAGTTACTTGATGCATGAGAACAGATATTCTCCTGAAAATCTTGTCTATAGCTTTACAAATAACACTATTAGAATAGAATCTTTCAGTTAATTTTGGCATGTCTTTCCTGCATTCCTTCAAACACAGTGTTGTTTTAATCAGCTTAGGTGACTTACTACTTAAAGAAATGCCGTAAAACAAATACATATAACCAAAAAAAGAAGGGCCAAAGGAGGGATAGACAATAGTCAGTTTTCAATCACAGCATCCTATCAAGTTACAATAAACTCATCAAACCAGGCTACATTTACAAAACAACATCTCAGTTTTAAAAATAAATAAAATTTGTCTGGTTAGCCTCTGTTTCATTTCTGTAAAAATAATGAACTATCTTACATAGTTGGTACCAGGGTACCAGCAAGTAATAAAGATCCAGGGATTCGGTACCCTTGAAGACCAATTCAAGTGCTACACAGGACACGACTACCGTATACTACTGATAGATTTGGCACTGACACTTGAAATTAAGTAATTTTTACATCTAACTGACATCAGAAAAGTTTTAACCCTGATTCTTTTCAAGACAGCAGTTAAAGTTTCCTTGTGTCTCTGATCTAGTTCAAGCTAAAACAGTGCAGAGCTTTGCTGCTCATGTTTATGAGTAAAAGGCTGCATCCATCCCTTGCCCCACCATTGTCACCATGAGCGCACTGCAACAGGCACTTCTTGCTTATAGCCCAATTCTTTGTCCCATGAAGTTTCCAAACCCATTTCTTAGTAACATGTGTCAATTTGCTGCTGCGGTGTGGGTTTTTTCAATCGTTATTTCTTTCCAGAAAGACTGAACAGAAGTATGGTCTATTAGTCCAGAAAACCAAATGTACTAGTAAAAGAATCTTGCCTACTTAGACACATACACTGTGAGAGATCATGCACACCATTTAACAAGAACCATCTACTCTGAGAGACTAGTGTCTCCAGTTTCCCTGTACAGGTAGTCAAACCAGAAGCAGAATCCTCAAAGCAGAAATCAGAACAAGTACATAATTTTCTCTTGAATGCATAAAATTCCAAGACTCCCAAGGTTTGGCACCTTATTTGGAGGAATCAGTACTACATTTGCATGTAGAGGAACACAGAGTTTATGAGGAATTACCAGGTAGCTCCTTGCATTGAAATGGATGAGAAATCTGCAACTAGCTACAGGAGAAAGAACTTCCTTTGAAGTAACAACAAAATCTGTTAGAATAAAGATCTTTATTGTATCTAAGTAGCTGTAGATTAATGAATATAAGTTTCACTTCTGTGAAAGAGCTAAGAAGTCAGCATGACGACTGAAAGCACATTTGTAATACGCAACAGAAATAAAGCAATTTGTTGCTCTGTTTTGGCAAAGATGTACTCTACACAGCATAGAATATAATTTTAAAAAGGAAAAAGACAAAATATGAAATATTGTAGCATGAAAAGCTGTTATTCCTCTTTTTATCACCTTCAATTTACCATGAATAACACATGATCATTACTTTCGATTTACTATTTACACTTTCTTTGCAACTTCAGAAGCTTTCCAGAAAAACAGGTCTTTACCTATTAACCAGGAAGACAGTTTGCTGTTTCACCCTCATGCTACTTCTTCCATTACTACATTTAGATATTCGTGGTTTTCTTTCCACTGAAATCTTAAAAATAAACTTGATTTCCTCCAAGTCTTCAACATTTTCACACTTATGGATTACAAACCTAAGACAATAGTGCATAGCATTGTCCAGCTTACGAAACAGTTCTAAGAGCCACAGGGATGTCCAGTCTTCAGGCTGTCCAATCTTCAAGTCTTTAATTATTTAATAATTCCTCTAAATTGTCATATGTTAATTACTGACACGTTTTCCTGTTCAAGACAGGTTGATAATTAAATAAAATTCCTAGTGTTGGCATCTTGTAGCATCCCATGCAGCATACTAAGCCATTACCCAAACAACTCTCATCTTTTCTGAAATGGGAGGCTGGAGGGATATTCTGCCCCACCTCTAAGCTCTGTGTGCTCCATTCTTGACCTGTAGGTAGGATGCAACTTTACACAGGGATTCAGTGACTGATTTTATGAACATAAAAGGCTAACGGCAATTACAGTAATGAGAGTAAGAGCAGACTGGAGGTTTGATATAAATTAGGTTTTTAGGCTATTATTCAGTTAACGAAAAGTCCTATAGATTCGTGTGATTTCATATACCAAAAACCTACAAATTGGAGAGAGACAAGTCTGAACATAAAAGACCTTTGCTGTTATAAAAACTTTAAACATCTGAACATACTATGGGGATGAAGATGTTCGCATGCAGAGCAACCTGTTTATGCTCACTCATGCATAAATGAGATCGTTGTGTCTTTGCACAGAATGAAAGAGCGCACAGAAGGCTCTTGGTTGTGTCTGACAGCTCATCCTCAAGCTCAAATAGTCCAGTACGTTTAAATTGATTAACATTCCCATTTTCTGACTTCAAGGCTGGCTGAAGACCGGGTCAGAAAGTGGAAACCTTTGTAATATAACTGTCTCCAGGCAACTGGATGGAGACACAAGATCGCAACCAGGCCCTGTGAACACATTTCAGACAGCTAAGGCCTCTGTCGTTCTGCAACTCTTTGGTCAATCTAAGGGAAGTCTCACAGATGTGGGAAGAACGCAGAGATACCAAGGTTTAATAAGAAATCTGCATAAAAAAAGGCAGCTGAGGAAGCGAAACTATTTACCAGTTTTGCAACTTCAGATCATGTTAATTTTTTGGATATATGTTGCATATGAAGAGACAGTCACAATCATTAGTTTAAATAAAAAACCTGCACACATGGAAATTCCTTACCAACACCTATACAGACTGTCAATGAATTAATGTATATTTAAAAACCTTAATTAAGATAGCTTATAGACTGAACATGATGCTTAGATAAAAGCGTAAGATTTTTTAAAATTAATTTAAATGTACCATAAGACTACTTGTATTTAAAATTAATTTTAAATTAGAACAACAAACATTAAAGCAGAAAAATAACTAAAACAGTATGTAAGGTAAACACACAGAGCATATATTTAAAAGTAAAAATACACCACAGAGAATATAATATGGTGGCTGTGCAAGAAATGACTGAGTAAAACTCAGACACTCCAACCTAGGAAAGAGGCAGCTTGGAGGGTATAGAGCAGATAGCAACATCATTAGAGTAGACAGGGATTGACTGAACACATTCTCTCATTAAAAAAAGAATTATGAAGCATCAAAAAATCTAGCAGGATCAGATTCAGAGTAAATTAAAAAAAAATAGTTGTTTTTTTGCACTGAACTCTTTAGCAAACAATACTGCAGGATGTAAAATCTCATGCAAGCTTAAGGAAAAAATGGACAAAGCTGAGAAAGAAAAAACACCGGCAGTTACTTAGTTAGTAAATACATGCAGCTGAAAATAACTGGAAGTTGAGAGAGTACTATCTCAGAAAAAGAGCCTATACATTTGCCCTGTTCTTACTCTTCTCTAGACTTGTAATTGTTCCATCCGTTGGAGCTAGGATACTGTTCCAGATGCACTTTTGATCCTCAAAATTTTACCTTTTAAAAAATACTAATTCAATAAAAACCTTCAGGGTTATTTTTGCTTGCCAATGATGTCAATTATATTTGAAATGTTGTTTAAATTACACAGCCACAGATTGGCTGCAAGTACATACATCTGGCATACATGTCAAATATTAGCCTACAGTAGACACAGGCTCTCTAAATGCACCACATTTTCTTTTTCACTATCACTCTTTTGACAAGACTTGTAAACAACAGAGTAAAACCCAATTAAGACAATTACTAAAAAGCAACCTTACCATCCCAGTGTTAAAAAGCTGCTGCTTCTGGGCAAGCAGCAGAGGTAGGATCTTATTAATGAGTCACTTCTGATCTGCTTGCATATGCAGAGCCCTTGCTATCCCAAGATCCTAACTAAGCCATAAAACACCAGTTCCAGCGATATGGGATGCAGCTGACTGCAGTTTAAGCAAGTCTCGGAGGTGCAGGTATTTTCTGCACAAATTAACACACAAACATGTTCCATATTGTATGAACATGTGAATAAAGTATAAACCAGAATAATGACAAACTCAGAGTGTATATGATAGAGAAAAATCATTATGCCTATCTAGACTTCCATGCTACAGGTGCTACATTTTTCATTAGTGTAAAATCTGTTACTTCCGGAAGGCTTAAATGGCAGCAGCTTTACTTTTTCATAGCCATCTCTCCTTATGTAGGATCTGACAGTGCAGATTTAGTGTGGTGCTCACATGCAATACGTACGTGTACAAGCAAAATGGGAACAATTATGCTAAGGAGAGGAAATCCCGACTTTTTTTTTCTTTGACTTACACACCTATTTAGATATTGGCTGAAATCTTTC